GAGGGTGGTCTTGTAAAGAGGATAAAGAGTGAATGCTCCCGGAAGGAACTCTAACTAATCACAGGCAGGTTGGTGGATAAAATCCAGCTTCCTCGCTCCGCAGGTGGGGTGAGCACGAGGCAGGCTCTGTGCCATTTCCCATGCCCTGGAGGGGCTGAGCTTCGGCTGCCCACAGTGTAACTTGTTCACTCCGAGATTCATAGGCTCCTTCTCCTCCCTATCTCGCTTCCGGAATATCTTAGCAGTGTTTTCTGGAACCCCCTCCTAAGCCCAGTCTACTCCAGCTAGACATCACGCGTTTCCCCCCCATTCCCATTTCCCTGAGATCTAAGCCCTCTAGCTCGGCCCATCCGAATTGTCACAGTCCCAGCGTCCCACCTGGTTACAGTCTAGGCCTCAGAGGTTTCTCCTTCCTCTGAAAGGAAGCTACTCTACTCACGTGGCAGGTAGTCAGACACAGTACACTCTCTCCTCTGTGGGGTGGACTGGATAGAAAAAGTGGGAACCGGACACAGACACTGGGCCCCGAGTCCTTGCTTGGGTACTTCCTAGCTGGAACCTTGAGCAAATCACCTAACTTCTCTGACCTTCAGTTTCCTCCTTGCCTTGTTGGGTTGTTCTCTGGATTTGATGAACTAAATACAGGGTGTCTTCCCTCTCCCCCGCCCCCAATGTATGCACACTTTGTCTGTAGGTTCTATTACATTTTGAAAATGAAATGTATCTTAATGAACACTGCCTTTATAATTATTCAAAGCGTGCATACATTTTTTTGGGACACGCTGTATGTAAAGAGCCAAGATAGGATATTGACTAATACGAGACGATACTCCAGAAAATAGTTATTTGTAGTCCATTATTCTCTTTCCTCCTTTACTTTCTCATGCATCTCCATCCATCCTGTCTCCTGAACTAGACCGTAGCTTCTCTGCCACATTCAACTTCTTTTCACATTGCTTTGCCCATGGCAGGCACTACAAATTCTTCCTGAGTTTCCTAAAGTTTTACATCAATTCAAATTCATTTACAGATTGTTTCATAGTGTGAGGAATTCTCACAGAATTTTTAGCAGGTCACTTCAGTTCGGGGCCTCAGCTTCCTCAGATGCAGAACAAGTGTTTGGGTCTGTATTTCTAGATGCACTGAGGTCCTCCTAGCATTAAAGTTTGGAATCTATATATTCATTGAGGGCATATACTGTATGTTGTTATTCTTTCTGACCACCCGACACTTAATACAATGGTGGTCCTGAATTAAGTGACTACCCAGTGCATGTAGAACCCATTCCAGACACCTCCCAGTCGTACCTTTTACCACTGATCCTCTCTCTTTGTACTCCTGAGCCTTCCCAGGCTGGGTCTGCCTTAAGGCCTTTGCACTTGCTATTTCTCATCATTTGGTTCTCTGCCCAAGGTCTCCTCCATGGAGGTCTCTTGCTCCACCTGTCTATCCCACAATGCTTTTTTCATTTCTGTCACTGCTCTCTGAAATTGTCTTATCATTTATTTGACTTCATTGTTTGCATTCATTGTTTTGTCTCCCTACCTCTTCCTCTAGCCCCCCAACATCTTGGATCCTTTCATATCCCTGCTGCTAAAATAGTACTTAGCACCAACTAGGCCTCTAAATAAATGTGGCATGAATGAATGAATGAATGAATGAGTGAGTGAGCCCTCTCCTGCCTTATAGTTTTTAGGTGGCAAGCTCAAATCTGTGGCTATCATGCTAGGTTCTAATGGGCCTCTTTAGGTATGGGTCCTACATGACAATTGCCATAGCTCTGAGTACATGGAGTGGGAAGAAACAGGAACTCCTAGAAAGAGAACCGCAAACAATTACATCAGTTTATCTAGAAACTTACTTGCAATGGAAAATTCAGATATAATTAAAGGGAATAATTCTTTTTGATTAAGGAAAATTTCAAACATAAACATAAGTAGATGTGGTAGATAAGAATAGCATATTGGACTTGCTTGTACACTGTGGTGGACACCCCTTAGAGTGGCTCCCCACCCTAATGTCCATTCTCTTGTATCTATAATCCCCTTCCCCGAGTGTGTGGGAACCTGTGATTGGCTTTCTCACCAACAGAATATGGCACATTTGATGTCTCCTCTGTGTGATGACTTATGTTATGTAAGACTGCATCTTGCTAGCAGACTCACTCTGGGGCCTCTCCTTGCTGGCTTGTTGAAGTCAAGTGGCCATGCTGGGGAAGCCCACCGTGACAATGAACTCCCGGTGCTCTCTAGGAGCTGATGGCCAACTCCAGCTGACAACCAGCAGTCCTACAGGTGCAAGGAGGTGAATGCTGCCAGTGACCTGAGTGTGGAAACGGATCCTTTTCTAGTTGAGCTCCAGACAAGAATGCAGCCAGGCCAACACCTTGCTGGCAGTTGTGAGACCCTGAGCAGAGAACCCCAGGTGCCTGGACACCTGACCCACAGGAACTGAGGTAATAAATCTGTGTTGCTTTAGGCTGCTAAGTTTGTGATAATTTGCTGCAATAGATAACTAACATTTTTCAACAGTTTGCAATATTGTTTCATCTATACTGTCATGTTTTGGGGGGAGTGGGTGGGCTGGAGTATTTTAAAGCACGTGAAAATACTTTAGTATGTATCTCTAACTTTTAAAAAACATAACCCCAATGCCAGAAAAATTAGGTCTTAATTGACAACAAGGATGAGAATTTTTATTTTAAAGCCATCATGTTATGGATCTTGATTGGGCACCCTGAGAAAAGTGCTTGTAATAATTCGAATAAGAATAGCATCCCATTGATCCCATGAGCTAAAGGGCAGGACAGCATATGAGAGCTTTCATTTGAAATGTCAGGCTTGCCATTTGTTGTTTTTTTTTTTAACAGTGTAGCCAAAAAGCACTTAACTGTCCCCATAATGTGCTTATCCATCATGCAATACCTAACACCATTGGAACTCAATTCAGATTGTATAAGATCCTACTCATTCCCCTAACCTGCTTTGGGATGGCCGCTTGTAAATCCCATTTTTTAAAATTCTTAACTCCTTATAACTTCGTGTCATTTTCTAATCGCCACCCCACCACGTTTTCCTTACTGATCTTTTTCTCTTTCGATTAAACGAATCTCTTCTCCCTTTGACACAGCTCGAGGAGGCAGCGCTTTGCCAGGGAAATTCTCAGGGTTTGGGGCTCTGTCCCATCTCCACCACAGGAGCGCTTTGTGATCGTTGGCAAGCAGTTGAGCATCTCCAAGCTGCAGAGAGCAGTGCCTCGCAGGGTGAGGTACAGCCTGCACATATAACGTGCGTAACGGGTACAGTGCTAGCACTGAGGGGGCACGGCC